GTAAATCTAACATCTTTTTTTTTTTTCTGGCGAAAATCAGTATTTATAGAAAATTATGCCACAAGCCCACATTCTGCTTATGATTAGATTTATTTCAGTTCCAAAGGAGTATATGGGGATAGGAATTCTTTCTAGCTTTTAAAATTTTGCATTGGGTGGGGGTTGTCTTACTCTCTTTACTCTCAGGTTAGTAGTAAATGAGAGGAAGTTTGGGGTAGTGGGAAGTCAGATTCATTCTATCATCATTTCCAGTTTGGGCTCCTGGCTGCTCTTTTGGAAAGTTTCTTAACCTCTCTAGGTACCCCTCTTCCTACTTTTCTCCTCTGCTCCCCCTAAGTGTGGGGATCACATTTCAACACTATACATGTATGAAATGACCTGATCTTGCTAAATATTTTTAATGTGTATTTATTTATTTATTTCAGTTGGCAATACAGCCACATGGTTCAAAACATAAAAAAGTGTGATTTGGTGTCATCTCCTTCCCACCTGCCTCTCCCTGGATGTTCTTGTCCCAGTCCCCAGTTTTATTTTGCGAACTCAGAGGTTGGAAAGGGCAAGCAAAGCAAACCAACTAGGTTTATCTGAATGAAATTGACTTATTCTAAGGTGCTATGCAAGGTGATTGTTTTTCCCTTTCATAGCCTGCCCATGTTTTCTGAGACCTTAGACAGCAACACTCAACTGAACTACTAAATAGTCACAATGCCTTTTTAAGAAATTTTAACTTTGAAGTTGCTAATGTGCAAAGGAAATGGTTCAGCCATTTCTGTAGAGCTTGATAATAAACTTTCTTTTGTCTCATTTATCATTTTCTTAAATTTTTTTGCCTTTTTTGCTTCACATAGGATAGAAGGAATAAGGGAAGGATTTGATTTGGACTGCTTTAAATTTTAGACCTTAGGCCAAGACAAAGCACACAAGAAATCAAAACTTAAAATGTATTTAATTTACCTTCAGCTAATTCAATATTTGTAATCCTTCTGATTGAGGGTGGTTACCTCTGCATTTACTTATAAAGGGAGTGTTGAGCAAATGAACAGTGGTGTGAAGAGGACAGCTAGGCACACACTTTAAGATGTGTGTTCAGTCCAGCACCTTTCACACAGTAGGTGTGCAGCCATTGCTGTATAAAACATAATTTATTAAAGCATGCTTGAAGCACTGCCATGGTAACCAAATATTTTCCATTTTCCACAAATCTTTAGATTTACAGTGCAAATTAAAAATCACTTTAAAAAACATTCTCTAGGAAAAGGGCTATAAGAGACTTTTTTTTCCATGACAACTTTGGATTCATTTAATACATGGTAGTTATTTTGCAAGCACTGAGGAGCATCACTCCCTTCTACAGATATCTAACACTGAGACGACTTGTACATGAAGCAGTGAGCAAAATCTAAGTCAATTCATGGAAAGCAATGTAATTACAGCGATATTCACCCTTGTCAGGAGAGAGTTTAAGCTTAAATATACACAACAGGCCACACTATAGATCATGACATACCGTCTAGGGTTGAACGTTGCTGCATTTGTTCAATTTATGGGCGAGATTTTAGTTTTTCCTAGTTCTATTAATAGAATTAATTAATGCCACTTATTCACTTACTCCGTCCACACACATTTGTTAAAAAGACTACCAGGGACGATGCTGTAGATCCAGATGCCCACGACACGGAACACACAATCCCGACGAAGATTTAATTTTCAATACTCATCAGGGCATTGCTTTTATGGTGCTTTACTGGCCCCCTTAGAACCAGGTGCCTGGGTAGGACCTCAGGCCGCGGCGGTGCCCGCGCCTGAGATACCGCTCTCCCTGGCACGCCCGGGCAGGGTGGGGTCAGCCGAGAAGTCACTGTGGCTGCCCCCGCGCACTCCCTCCCGCGCGGTCTTTAATTTCGCAGCTCAGACCACCGGAAATTAGCCGCCGGCTGAGCGGACCCAGCGCAGCGCGGGAGAGCGTGGCGTGGGGAGGGCGCGCCCGCCAGCCCAGCCGGGCGCCCGGGGGACGCGCCGCCAGCGCCCTCTCAGCCAGGGGCTCGGCGCTCGCCCACCTCTTCCAAATTTAACCATTACCTAAATCCGAAGGGAAATGAGCAAACCTCTCGGATTGGGTGTCAAGGTATTTTCAGCCTCGCTGGGCGTATTTATGCCGAAGTGTTTCCACAACAAGCTATTTCGGGGCCGCGGGGCAGGTTTCGCTCTGCGGACGCCGCGGCCACTCGCCGGGCTCCAGGCCGGCGGCACCGCGGGCGGGTGATTCACGGCCCCGACCCCAGGGCGGCGCAGCCCAAGCACGCGGTGGGGTTGAGGGGGATGTCCCGGGCCAGACGGGCCGGGACGCCTCCTTGGAGATGGGCACTTCCACTCCCGGCACTCCAGTCAATCTGTGTCCTGAATCTGTGACTTCTTCTTGCTGCGGAAGTCTCCCAGGAGCCAAGAATAGTTCATTTTCTTTCGAGTCATTTCTAGTGTCTGGGTCCTCCAGATCTCCCCGCCCCCACCGACCCACAGAAAAAAAACGGGGAGGGCCGCCAGGGAGGGAAGCTTGAAAGACCGGGTCCCCTGTCCACCTAGCCCCTTGCGCAAAGGAGGAGTGCACCCCGCCGCCCGACTCGGGGGTGGGGAGGCAGGTCTGAGAGGGCTAGGCGAGCTACTCCTTAACGCTCAGGAAGTGAAGCTTGTGGTTTTGGGGGCTGAGCTCGGAAGAAGATTAAAAAAGAGAGAGACACACACACAACGCGGCCTGTCCCGAAAGCAACTCAGTTTGAAAACTCTCCGAGCGCGGTGCCCGCGCCTTGACCCCGCAGGTAGGTCCGCTGCGCCTGTTTTGCACCTCCTTCCCTGGCGGGGGCGACCTCGAAAACAGGCGGGCACAGGCACTGCGGGGGCGAACGGAGGGTGCTGCTAGGTGCTGTGGGCAGCTGTGCGGGAACGAGGATAGCTCTATCCGCTGGGTCCCGGCGCCACCCGCACCGCGGAGCTGGTGATCTGGAGCAGGGGACGCGCTCCAGGACGTTTGGTGGTTCTGCGGGGGTGCAGTATCCACCCAGGAAAGAAATATCTGGTGGGCAGGCGGCGGCAGCTGGGCTCTGGAGCCTGCCCCTGCGTGCCTCCAGCTCCCGCCTTCCCAGGCCCTGACCGTGAACAGAGGCCCTGTGGACCCGCGTGCGCTGAGAGGGCGGCCCCGCCCCCTGGCTGCCAGCTGCTAAGCGAGGTCGCCTTCCCACGCGCTCAGCGCTGGGCCCTACCACCCCCTTACCCACTCCACCCTCCCAGGAACTCTCAGAACCAGCCAGGATGCGAGAGAGGCGCGAGGCTGTGGCCCCGGTGGGGAGGCGGCCTCCGCTCCCGCCTGATTCCTAGCAGTCCTAGTCAGTCCAGACGGTGGACGTGGACAGCTCAACCCCTGCCACCGACCCCCGCTTTTCGGCTCTGCGCCAACGGTACCCAAGACGAAGCAGGGCCCTCGGGACCTTTTCACCTCGTTTTCCTTTTCCTCTGAGTTTCATGGTTGTTTAAGGAATTGTTTTTTGTGTTCGTAGTGTCTAATTATATGGCCGAGGCGCAGGGAAAACTGAAGCAACGAAACTTCACCTTAGGTTAGCCAAGTTCCCCGAAGCCTCCTGAAGTTCCGACCCTTGGGGCAGACCCGAATGGGGGCGGGAAGCACCTTCACCCCTAGGGGGCCTTCTGGCGCTTAGGACGCGGGAAACATCGCTTGGGTATCCATTACACGTCCCAGCCGTCTTTTCTCCCAAGCCTGTCCCCGCTCCTCTCCCGGGGGAGGGGACACGGTGGGACGTGGAATACCTTCCTGGGATGAGTCCCCTAGAATCCTTTTTGAGCCCGAAACGCCAATGGGCAGACTTAGACCGTGTCCTGCATGCTGCCATGGGAGCCGCGCGGCTCCTAGTCTGGTATTCTAAGCCTCGAGAAGCCGAAAGACAAGGGGTCCTGTCACGGCCCAGATTCCCCAGGACCCCTGTTTCTGAACTAGCCAAGAGCAGCTCGAAGGGCCTGCAGCTCGCTTGTGAACGCTCCAGCCCCCATCGCCTTCTCCCCGGGAGGAAGGCAGATTCTTTTCCCCAGACCTCCTAGCCACCCTAGTCCCGCCCCTGGAGAGAGACCCAAGCAGAGCAGGAGGCACTACCCCGCCTCCCCGGCGGGCTCAGGTTTCGACCCCGGGATTAGGTGAACAGATTGGGGGGTTAATGAGAGCGACAGAGCGGGCAGTGAGCTCTCTCCCGGGCCCGCGCCCGGACCTCGGCTCTCCGGCTACCGCTAGAGCAGCCTGCGTTCTCCCGCGTCCGCTGAACTGTTGGATTTCCGCGCACTCCTGGACACCCACCGTGCGCTTCCAGCCAGCGCGCACAGATAGGGCTCGACTTCCCCAGGACAAGGTTTTTGGTGAGCAGAGTGGACAGTGTTTTTTTCCAGATACTTGGTTTGGTCTGGGGTGTCTCGCCCAGGACCCTGCCTGCTCCCGCAGCACCCACTTCTCCAGGTCAACTTTTTCCCCGCGTGGGGCACGAGTGTGGGACGAGAGAGAACACCGGGATGCGACTTCCTCCCAGGGCCGGGGTCGGTCCTCTGCCACTCCCCCCGCGTGACATCTTTTCCCTCAACTCTCCTACCTTCTTTCTCCGGCCTCTGCTACCCCCAGTCCCAATGCTGCGGTCCCCCACCCCCCATCCTGCCTAGTGTGCCCCGCCCCTGCTCCCCTTTCACTCCAGTTTGTAGCTGGCTCTTGGAAGGCTGGCTCCTTGCCTCTTCCGGGCCCCAGACCACCGACACATCCCCAGGCCCTAAATTTATACCCGCCCCCTTCCCTCTTCCCGGGCCCAAAAGCAGAGCCTAGCGGGCAGAAAATGATCGAATTGGAATAATTGGCCCGTTGTGTACTTAGAAGAGTTTGATTGCCCGAGCAAGTTTTGCTAGAGAAGGGGAGGGGCCGAGGGGCGTGGGCAAGGCAGAGGGAAGAGGCCTGAGCCCCGGCCCCGGGACGGGTTTTACCGCTGAGCTGTGGCGGCGACGGCGGCGGGCTCGCGCCACCTGTCCGAGTGCCACCTGGTGAGCGTGGTGTAGCGGGGCCAAACCCCTCCTCCCGAGAGCCGTACTCGCCCCTCCCCGGCCCGAGCTCTATCTCCGCCCGGCTGCCCATTCCCGGGCCCGGAGCGTGCTGACCCGATTTCCACCCGGTTCTTCCCTCGCAGGTCTCCGCCTAGCTGGGGCTAAGCAAGAACTCGATGTGACAGTGCGGTGACGGAGGCTCCGGGGACCCTTGGAACGGAGTGGGGAACCTGCCCCCTACCATCATGCCGCGTTCGTTTCTTGTTAAGAGCAAGAAGGCTCACAGTTACCACCAGCCTCGTTCCCCGGGACCCGACTATTCTCTCCAACTGGAGAATGTACTGGCGCCAGGCGGAGCAGGTGCGGGGCGCGCTCGGGCCGGGCGGGGCTGCTCCCGGGGACGTAGACTCTGAGCCCAGCCACACCGAACCCCAGGAACCGGGAAGGGAGGCCCGATGCCCTCTTTGCAGCATGTTTGGTTTTCTGTCATCCGTGTTTTCTCCCCGGCTTGTCAGCTAGGTATCACGACCTCTCTGCTCTCGCCCTCGGATCCGGGAGGGTTCCGGGTCAGGTCTGGGGAGAGAGGAGGACGCCCGGGTGCCACGGTCCGGGGAGTGCCACTTCAGAACCGTCGGGCCCAATATGCCCAGCCTGAGCACCTCCTGCCTCCTCTCCGCAGACAGCCCCTTGGGCGCAGTGGGGTCGAAGGCGGAGCCCCGGGGCCGTTTGTCCCCCCAGTCGCAGCTGACCGAGGCCCCTGACAGAGCCTCCGCGTCCCCCGGCAGCTGTGAGGGCAGTGTCTGCGATCGGAGCTCGGAATTTGAGGACTTCTGGAGGCCTCCGTCGCCCTCTGTGTCTCCAGGTAGGGACCGTTGGGAGCTCTGGGTTCCGGGAAGCAGGGACCTCTCAGCGAGGAATGAACCCGCGCAGCTTTGGGCCCAGAAATGTTGAATGGATGGCGGAGGGTCGTTCCTAGAGGATAGAACGTTTTCGTGGGGTGTAGGGCCCCAAGGGGGGAGGCATCCGGCTTCTCTGGACCAAGACAGTCGGCCTGCGGGATCCGATGCCTGGATCCGAGGAGGCGGGACCCGGGCTGTTCATCTCTACCTAATTCGTTTGCGCGGAGCGGGTGGGTGAGAGAAAATAAATGAGTCGTCTCAACTGACAGCAACGTCGACATTTCGTTTTCCGAGTTGATTGTTTAGAAAGAACTGGAATCCCAGATTCCAGACTCCCGAGTCTCAAACAATCAGAGACCTGGGCAGTCTGAGAGGAAAGTGTCGTTGCCTTTAAAACTTACTCTCACTTCCGCGGCGTGGGGCCTGGCAGAGCGGGGCGCCCGGCGGGAGGGACCCATTCTGGATGAAAATCTCGGCCCCTCTCTGGGTCTTCGCAGGCGCGGGTTGGGGACCTATTTTATTTTTCGTTCTGCCTGGTCGGTCCAGTTCTGAGGACTAGCAGGCTGGTTTCATTTTTAGCCAAAAGTCGATTTTTAAGAAAACTGAGTGAGAGCACGTTGGGTGGGGCGGGTCTAAGTTCAGGCGAGGGGAAGGAGAGCGCAGACCAGCCGGATCTGCCAAGAGCCGGTTATTTCCAGATTGCATTTATTAATTTAAAAAGACACCCCCAAACCCCACCCCGCACTCAGTGCGTTGACTTGGCTAAAGGTGTAGCTGCAGCGAGTGTCTGGGGGTGGGCCGAGGGCTCTTCTTGGCTGTTGGGGACACCGCCCCGCCAGGACTGGGCGCCGCCGGCTCCTCTCCGACAGAAACTCCGGGTGCAGCCTGTCTCTGAAGCGGCAAGCTGGGACTGGAGTCTGCAGTGTGTGAACAGATTTGTAAATCCGTATGCATTTAGAGAAAGTATGTGTTGGTTTTAGAAAGATTCGCGTTGGTTGGGGGATGCAGAAAGCTCCGAATTCGGAAAACTATTCCCCCTACAGTTGGTGGTTAAACCTTAATTGTAAATTGTTGTCTAAGAAATGTGGGTGTTGGTTTTTTGTTTTGTTTTGTTTTTGTTTTTCTGTCAAACTATGGTGGGAATGGGGAGTATTTGGCAGGCAGTTCAAGCCCCAAACCCCCTTCCCACTTCTCCTTTGTTACCTGCACTGTTTGAGCGTAAGGAATGTTAATGCCTTCCCACCCCCGCCCCCCAGGCAGGTACGTCTCGGGTAGGCCGGACCACATTTTATTGGTCCTCTTCCTCCCTCCCTATCGATCCCAGAAAAGAAAAGGGTCGGAGTGGAGACAATTAGGGGCCGGAGAGCGCCCGCGCTGGGCCCTCTGCCCAGCAGCGCTGTCCAGGCCCCGAACGGTGGCCGCCTTCTCCTCCCTCACAGCGCAGCTCCGAGCATTTATTAAGCACAGACCGCGTGGCGCGCCTTCTGTGGGACCACCAGGTGAGCTGGTCGAGCCAGGAAAGACCCTCATACCCTCATAACGGCGTGCGCGTCTGCTGTCCTGGCGCAGAATTTACCTGTCTCCTCACCCGATGTCATTTACATTTTCTGTTTGCTGCCTTCAGTGCCCCTCGAGGCCTCAGGGACCGGGCCCGCGTTTTATCCTGAGGATGTCCCTGGCACCTAGCGCGGCACCTGGCATACGGGGTGCTTTACAAAGGCTGGGTGCCTGGCAGTCTATTTTAAGCCTGACTGGACGCCCTCTTGTGTCTCTGCAGCCTCGGAGAAGTCGGTGTGCCCACCGCTGGACGAAGCTCAGCCCTTCCCCCTGTCCTTCAAGCCCTACTCGTGGAGCGGCCTGGCGGGTTCTGACCTGCGGAATTTGGTGCAGAGCTACCGACCATGCGCGGCCCTGGAGCGCGGCGCCGGCCTGGGCCTCTTCTGCGAGCGCACCCCGGAGCCAGGCCACCCCGCGGCGCTGTACGGCCCGGAGCGGACGGCGGGCGGCGCGGGGGCTGGGGCGCCCGGGGGAGGTAGCGCAGGAGGCGGCGCTGGCCTGGGGCTCTACGGCGACTTCGGGCCGGCAGCAGCGGGGCTGTACGAGCGGCCGTCGGTGGGCGGGCTGTACCCCGAGCGTGGCCACGGGCTGCACGAGGACAAGGGCGCCGGTGTCAAGGTGGAGTCGGAGCTGCTGTGCACCCGCCTGCTGCTGGGCGGCGGCTCCTACAAGTGCATCAAGTGCAGCAAGGTGAGGCCCCCGCGCGCCCGGCCTGGCGGGCCCAGCGTCCGCGCCCCCAACCCTCGTCCAGCCCACGTCCACGCCCCTTCTCCCTTCTCAGCGGCCTTCTCTCCGGCCCCACCCGCCTCAGGTGTTCTCCACGCCGCACGGGCTCGAGGTGCACGTGCGCAGGTCTCACAGTGGCACGAGACCCTTTGCGTGTGAGATATGCGGCAAGACGTTCGGGCACGCGGTGAGCCTGGAGCAGCACAAAGCCGTGCACTCACAGGTGAGCGGGCGTGGGGCGGGGCGCACGGCCTCGCGCGGGCCTGCTTGGGGTTTTGCATTGCGGAATCATGACCTGCTTTGTGCCGCGCCCGCCGCTTCCCACCTGGCGGCTTTCTCCTTGGACTTCCCCCGATTGCCCCCCGTCTCCCCCACCTTGCCCCCTTGCCTAGATGTAGGTGTGTAGAAAAAGGCGGGGTTGGCCGGCTCAGTCCTCGAGGCAACCCTAGAGTTTGATGTCACGTCATTGTGAGCCTCCAGAGTGTGATCCTGATCATGACTTTGGTTTTGAGGAGAGTTTGTATGCACTCTTGCTGCCGATGTATCGGCTAATCTGCATTGACCCCTCCCTACTGAAAAGGAGGGTTCTCAGGCCGTTTGGAGCATATTTGTCCTGCTGTGCTTCATTCATTCGTTTAAAATATTTGTTGCCCAACTTTCAGGTGCTAGGCATATTCGAATCCTATAACACACAGGGTCCCTGACAGGACGCCCCTACGGAGATTACAGTTTAGCTGAGAGACAGAAGGTAGATAAGCAAATTAGTGCACAAGTAACTGTGACAGGACAATGCTTACTTATAGGCACTTATTTACTAAAAAGAGTATTTCTCATCTCTCTCAACACCTACACTGGCTGGAGGGAGGGGGCATCTCAAGTGACTGAGGTCTAAGCCTCTTGTTGAGGAGGGTGGAGAAGTTATTGTAAATGGTGTCAAAAGAGCAGGGTGGAGATACATACGGTTTTGCCATGGGGTGTGGAGGGTTGTGGGTGAAAAGTGTTTTGGTAGAAAACAATGTTAAAAGGGGAGAGGATACTTGTGGGGAGGGTAGAGATGGGAAATAAATGGAGGAGAGAGGATATGGGGCAGGCTATTTGGAAAAGAGTCTGAAAGAAGGGAAAGCCCTGAGTGAGCTTCGTGGTAAGAATGGCAGCCTAGATGACTGCAATAGGAATGCCACATTTTTCTCTCCACAGGAAAGGAGCTTTGACTGTAAAATCTGTGGCAAGAGCTTCAAGAGGTCATCGACATTGTCCACACACCTTCTCATCCACTCAGACACCCGGCCCTACCCCTGTCAGTACTGTGGCAAGAGGTTCCATCAGAAGTCAGACATGAAAAAACACACCTTCATTCACACTGGTGAGCTAAGACCCTTGGCCTGTAGAAAACACCCAGTGAAGGAAGGGGGACAAGGGGCGTGTTCTTCCCCCTGAGACCAATATAATTCACCTTCTCTGGGATAATGTGGCACCAGAATGAGTGGCAAATGAGGCCTAATCACTGCAGTGTTAGAAAGAAAGGGAGGCAGATTCTCTTAGGTTTATTTACATACATGGTTTTCCCCAGAGGGCCTTAATTTGGAATTGTTTCTGAAGAACCACTCAGCAGGTCAGCTGCAGGTTCCCTATCCTTGCAAAGAACATTTTCCTCTAATTTAGCAGCTGCTCTAACTGCTGCCTGCTCAGGGTGAAATATGAAGCTCCAGGGTCTCTCCGAGCCAATGCTTAAATGTTTACCTAGAGGTTGAGTACTTTCTCTAGAGCTCCCACCCAGCCTTTTGGGGGAGGGACTTATGTGTGGTCTCTTGGCTGCATTTTTAGGAGTCTGAGAGCTTATTCTGAGTGAGGAAGAAATAACAATGGTAAATATTACTAAACTCTCTGCTAAGCACTTTGTAAATGCATAATCTCATTTTATGCTCACAACAACTCTGGGAGAAAGAGGCTATTCCGTATTCCATTTTAGAGATGAAGGAAGTGAGGCCCAGAAAGGTTAGTTAACCTGCCCAGGGTCACATTGCTAGCAAATGGCAGGGCCAGGACTTAAATTCAGTTCTGTCTGACCTCAAGTGTCTATGCTCTTGACCACTGTTTATTGTATTCTATTTATAGTGTCATGGGGGTTGGTAGATATAAAAAGCTTCTATTCACTTATTGCCCTTTTAAAAATATCATCAAGTTCATGACATAATGATAATTCTTTATCTGTTGCAATGCTTTATAATTTATAAAATACTTTTAAATCTATCACTTTATTTGATCCTTACTGCCTCCCCATAAAGTAGAAGGAGCTGAAATTACCATCCTGAAACTCAGAGAGATGGAATGATTTACCAAAGGTCATGGGACCATGATTTGCTCTGGCTTCCAATTCTGTACTCATTCCCTGATGTTTGGATTGTGCGTAGGTGGCAGTTTTAATGCCAGGAGCACTCTCTTTAATAGTCAACAAGACATTAGAACCAGAAATCTGACTATTTTGTTTCAGAATATGAATACTGATTTGAAACAAATTGCAATCTGTTCCAAACACTTACCATTAATGTTTATAAATATGCTTGAGCAGTGTAGATGCCCCATCATAAAATCCAGAAAATACCCTACTTTAACCATGCCCTCGTGCCTGAAATTTCCATGTAATTCACTCCTTTCAGTAGAGGTATTCAAGACGTTTATCAGAATGCAACTAGGATCTTGACTGAATGAAACATTAGGCCCTTATCAAACATTTACATTATAGCTAGAATTCGTTTCTCAGATTTGTTTGACCCTAACGAGATAGGATAAGTTTTGATGGGAGGTTCCTTATCAAGGAAATCTGAAGCATGAAGACAGAAAGGGGTGCAGCAATGGGGACAGAGGATTTCTTAAAAACAAACAAACAAAACCACATCTATTTTCCATTTGTTCCAGGGTCAAGCCCTATGCCATGCTAAGGCTATTTGGAAATCCATGCTATTTCCCCAAATATTAAAACAACTAATGAACCCAGGGCGGGGGTGTGGGGGGAGGGCAGGAGAAAGACCTTTTCAATCTGTTATTCATTAATCTATGGTAAAGAGTTGCTGGTATATAAAGACTCCTCTGATTAACTTCATAAAAAGAAAGTAAAATCAACATAGAAAAAGATCAACTACCCTAAGAAATACTTTGTGGCCCAAATGTGCATTTTTTAAATTAACACTTTGAGAAATGTCCATGCTTCAGATGCATTCGTTCTATTGTCCTTCAAGAGCAGGAAAGAAGACAGGCACACTGGGTCATACAAACCAACACCTGCTTGGAAACGCAGATTTGAAAACTTCCTCTGAATTAGAACAGTCACATGGTTTGAAGGACCGTCCCCCACCCCCATCCCCTCCTGTTGAACATCTGCTGTAGGCGCTCTCTGCTTCTCTCAAGTCAGGGGAGTCCTCCCAGGGTGGGTTCAGCTGCAGCCTGGGGAGGGCACGTGGCTTTTGCTGTTTCCGTTTAGCAGGAAACGGTTTGAGGCCTTTGGTTGGGAACCCCGACTCAGAAAGTCTCCCTTTCACCGGTGCACCCATGGCTTCCCGGGACTTGTGTTGCAACACGTCACCCTCCACGTTACTTGAAGGCCTTAGACTGGGGTGCTGCCAGCTGCCACCAAGAACATGTGGGTCACAGTGAGTCCCTCTCGGTTCATCACAGACTCATACTTTCCCCCTCCCCCCCTCCATTCCTGCAGGTGAGAAGCCCCACAAGTGCCAGGTGTGTGGCAAGGCATTCAGCCAGAGCTCCAACCTCATCACCCACAGCCGCAAGCACACAGGCTTCAAGCCCTTTGGCTGCGACTTGTGTGGGAAGGGCTTCCAAAGAAAGGTCGACCTCCGGCGGCACCGGGAGACACAGCACGGGCTCAAATGAGTGCCCTGGCTGTCCACAAGCAACAGTTACACAACACTAGGGAGGGCAGCCTCCCCACTGGCCACCACCCACTCTGACTTTTCAGGCCCCTCAATCTGCAGATCCCATCAGCCTGATCCTTCTTCACCTCACTTCCTGGAGCTGCCAGAGGGGATCATTACCTTTTCAAAGTTCATCCTGAAGTGGGAACCAAATGACTCACTATGCTTTGGACACATGTAATGTGCTCCTTTACACCTGAAGATTTGAGTCAAGAGGGGATCAGATAAAATCTTGGGCCCCTCAGTCCTTCCCATTCCCAGCCCTGCTCCAAAGACAGGAAGGTCCTTCAGGTTTCTTCCCTCATCCTCCTGACCTACCCCAGATACTTGTGTGGAAGAGGAGGAATCACCATTTACAAGGTAGACACACGCTAATGTTTTTTAATCTAGAATGGAGAATGAGTGTTATTTTTATATTTTTTCTTTTGGGGAGTCTGTTGACCCCTTTCTGTTGGGTGCTGCCTGTAAATCTCGGAGGAATCATTTCTCCCACTTGAAGACTGGTTCGGGAACTGATTTGGAGAGGCAGTTTCACACTTTTGAAATTACAAGATACACTTTACAGCCTGCCCCAAGAAAGAGTTGAAGAACAGTGGACTTGGTGATGAGAAGCGATCAGAGGCCTCCGTCAGAGGGGGTGAAAGCACAGAGCAGCGCCTTTGGACAAGATATCATCCATTTACTCAGCAAATGTTTGTTGATCACCGGTTACCATGGTACCAGGCCCTATGCTAGGTACGGGGAACCAGAGATTAAGGTCATGACCTCTGCCCTTAAGCTTCAAAAGCTAACATTCTCACTCCAAGTGTCTGGGTCTGTTCTTTCCCTCCAAAGGGATTCTGAGAAGACAAAAGGAATCTTGAACCTTCCCTTCTGACCCGCTGGATTTTATCAACCACATACAAAAAATAACTGAACAGATACTTCAAAGATGTGTGTGTATATTCAGTTTTTTATTATCAAGCTGATTTTTAAAGCTGTCTAAACTAGCAGGCATGTGGGAGTGAAGGCTCTGTCTTCAACTCTTTGCCCTTCCCTGTGTACCATCGAGGAAAACAAATCGTGGCATTTTCCTTTGATGGGGTTTATAAATGTCCTTTAGATCTTCTGGAGTGCATTATGTTTGTTAATACATATTTATTAGAGTGATGTTTTAAGTTAATAAAGTATTAAGTCTCTTACATATTGCTTTTTTATTTAGGCAGGGAATTTTTGAAAGACCTTTGTTTTAGTCTGTAGGGGGAGTTGGCCCTGAAAGAAACTACAGAAGTAGAGCAGACGAGCCAACATGCAGAAGAGGGTAGAATTCAGTTGCTCTGGTTTCCCGGTGCTTGCTTTCTTTTCTTCTGAGCCTCAGAGATCCTTATTTCTTCTTTCTTTCTTTCTTTTTTTGTTAATCTTCACAATGAGGCTATTTTTTCATTAATTTTTTTTTTATCCTCACCGAGGACATTTTTCGATATTTTGTTCAGATAGAGTGGGAGGGGGAGAGAGAGAAATATCGACGTGAAAGGGACACTTCGAGTGGTTGCCACCCCCACAACCCAACCAGGGCTGGGGACAAACTGCAGCCGAGGTACGTGCCCTTAGAGGAAACCAAACCCGGGTCTCTCTGGACCGCTGGCCAATGCTCTAGCTGCTAGCCAAACCGGCCAGGGCTCCATTAATTTTTTTTTTTTTAAGAGAGAGTATAAGGGAGGGAAGGAGGGAGAGAGATAGAAACAGCAATGTGAGAGACATCAATTAATTGCCTCCTGAATGACCCTGACCAGGCCGGGGATCAAACCCAAAACTGAGTTATGCGCTCTTGACTGGGAATCGAATTCAAGACCCTTCAGTCCGAGGGCCGATGCTCTAACTGCTGGGCCAAACCGGCCAGGGTGAGATCCTTATTTCTTAATAGAAAAGCTAGGTGCACAGTACTAAGCTCCTACCTTGTTGCGTTCCTGATGGTCGCATATGTACATAGGCTCTTCTGAGAGTTTTAGTTTTTAAAGACCAGAAGGCTCTGAGGTGAATAAAGAAATCACAAGCCTTAGGTCTAGAGATTGAGTCTTAGTCCCAGCACTGTCACCAACACGTTTCCTTGACTATAAAATGTAGATATGGTTGTAGAATACCACTATAACCCTGACTGCTTTGATTCTGTGGAGACTGGAAAGATAGCATCTGAGACTGGTTAGCTGCCTCGCCTAAGTTACAAATCTAAAGATGCATGAGGGGCAGTAAAATTGGGATCTGGGTTATTTCCGTCTCTATCCCACCTGTGGGAATTTCTTGCACAAATCAATTCCTTAAACCAGAATAAGCTCCTGGCCTAAATTCCAATTATCTGTGTTTTTTTCTAACATCTCCCAGCAAGGTATGCATGGCCCATGTTGACCACCAGCAGACTGTCCATTTCTATTCAAATCAACTTCACGCGTGTTGACTGAACACCTACTGTGTGCCTGGTGCTGTTCTCGGTGCTGGGATACCGCAGTGAGCACCATGTCCAGTGGATCTTCATTTGATCAATGCTGACTCTTCCAGAACAGCGCCTGGCACACAGTAGGAGATCAATACATATTTGCTGAGGTGTTAAGTGAAGAAGCAGACAAAACAAACCCCTTCTTGATCCTGGCTGGCTCTGCTCTGTACAGCACAAAGGGGAGAGAAACTGCGGGAAACAAACAACATATAGGACTCTGAGTTGGTGGGTCAGGGGGCTTTGACGCTACTTTTCTCCAGTTTCTCTGAAATCTCAGTCCTTGCCTAAATTTCAGTCCTTCCTCACTTGGTTTTCAACACCATGTCTTGCCATGTCAGCTTATTCTCATTCAAAACGCAAATTTGCTTGCTGTATAATGCAAGTTTAAGGTAATTTTCCAGAACTGATGGCTGAACAGTTGCAGCATCCAGAAACCTCTATCTAGTGTCCTGAGAAGCAAAGTTCCCAGTGAATAAAGATCATGAAACTTCCTTCCCACAGAATTCACCTTGTACACTGGTTGAGAATTTCCAACCTGGTTTGAAAAGTAAAGAAGTTGCATGGAGGGGTAAGTAGAACTGATTGAAATCTAGTTATCTGCCCTGTCCTGTTTACACCTTATGACATTTAAAACTTTTGGTTCATTTTTATAATCCTAGTTTATTCCATACATGAGTAGTTTTAATTTTTACATTAACAGTATACCTTTTTTGGAAAAAAAAGTATCTTGATATAACCCCAAAGCAGAATCAAAACAAATTACTGCGCCTGTTACCGTGTGAAATTTGAAGATTGCAAATATCTCTCTTAATGTTATTACTTGACTCTATTAAAAATAGATTGTGAATATTCCATGTCACATTATTCATGAGGCAGGCCCTATGTCTTTTGTCTGCCGGAGTAACAGTAGAAAGGGTAACAGGAGACACCAGAGCACACCTTTGTTTCTTTCACTAAATTTTTAATAACACCTCCAGCTAGCCAGTTGGTGAAGCTCAGCTCTTGCATAAAAGTGGAAAAGCACAGCTATCTCAGAGAAGACCAACTCTTTCAGTAGCTAATTTGAGTTTGCGTTCATCTACACCAGAGATGATTAAATTACCTATCAAGTGTGCTGAGCTATCAGGATTCAGGCCACGTAAAAGGTGAATTTCATCTGATTGATTTGAGACACGAATGGAACAATTGAGTTTTAAAAGCCCCGCCTTAATTAAAGGCACAGCAAAGTATCTCTCCTGGGCCAGTTCTTGACTGCAATTGCTCTTGAAAATTGGATGGCAATAGTGATTTGACCCAATTCATTTTATTGTGTGCCTGTTTGTTTAACTGGATTAACAGAAAGACATAAATTCAGTGGAAAGCCTAAAAGGACTTGTCTACATTTTACTGTGTATTTCTAGAGCTTTATTTAAATCTCTGCTGCTATATTATTTCTACAGTAAACAATTTTCAGCAAGTATAGTATACATTTATTTTAACACTATTTCATTTATTGAGTCAAATTTTAAAAATAAAAAAATGAAGAAATTTATGTCCAAACCCTTCTTGCTTAAAAGTTTGTTTCATTTTTCTGTGTTCATTCCCAATTTTTACCCACATGTGTGTATGTGCACATTTTATATTTTTACCCTGTGATCAAGGTATTTACAATTTATGCCTAGATAGCTGTTTTATTTATAATATGGACACATACTCAAAATTGAAATACAGGGTTGGCAAAAGTAGGTTTATAGTTGGAAAATAATACAATAATTAATAAATAATAATATAAGAATAAACTTTGTGTTTCAAAAGTAAACCTACTTTTGCCAATCCCTATATTTGTATTTCACAATGAGAATTTCTACAATTTTTATGGCTAACGTTTATTGAAATCTGAGTATTTCTTAGAAATTTTATCAGTCATAAAGATAAAGTCTTCTCTGAAGTTTTAAAGTTATTCACTTTTTATTTATTTTATTTTTGTATTTTATTTTATTATTATTATTTTTAAAAAGAACAGTTTTAGCTTCACAGCAAAATTGAATGGGAAGTATACAATTCCCATATATCCCCTTCACCCACACATGCACAACCTTCTCCTATCAACACCCTGTTCAAAAGTGGCACATTTGTATAATTGACGAATCTACATTGATACATCATAATCATTTAGAGTTCATAATTTACCTCCTGGTGTGGTACATTTTATGGATTTGGAGAAATGTGTAATGACCTGTATCCACCATAATAATGTCATATAGAGTGGTTTCACTGCCCTAAAAATCCCCTGTGCTCTGTCTATTCATCCTCCCCCGCCCCTCAACCTCTGTCAGCCTTTTTGTTTTTATTTTTAAAAAATTGCTTGAGGTACCAGTTCTGTTAGAATTCTATGCCTGTGCTGAACTGTTGTACTGTACTTTGACCATGATATAGTTCAGAAAAATTCTACTTATGTAAGGACTGCTGACATCTTTTATTTCTTTCCTCCCTTCCTTTCTCCAAATAATGGCAAGTCAGTGACCATATTGTGTAAAAAAAAGAGATTTTTTAAAAAAATTTCCTGAGATTTCCTTGATGGTCTGGTAATCGAAGATACTTCTGGACAAAAGATAAAATCTGGTAATACAGCCTTATGTAGTAAGGTTTTGCTCTGGACCCATACAGATGGAAGAAAATTTAAAAATGGTTCCTGCTCTCTGTTTACAGGTAATGGTCATACTTTCCACAGACCTCATATACGTAAACGACAGTCTTCCTGGGTACTCTTTACTGAAAGGCTGTATCACTCTTGAGTACCTTAATGCACATGTGGATCATTTCCTCTTTGCTGCACCCCTTCTTCAAGAATCTGCCCAGAGTTTAGTACCTGTCAACCATCAGTCTTTGTGGGAAGAGCAGCTCATCTAGTAAAAACCAATGTAGAGACTCCATTGTCTAGATTGAGGCAATTAGATTCTCTTTCCTGAGAATGGTAACCTTGAAATGCTGAGTTCATTAGATGATGATGAATCCTTAAGCTGAAAGATCATGTAGTGTTGTGACTAGATTCTTTTTTTTTTTTTTTTAATTTTTATTAATTTATTTTTTTTACAGATGTTTCTCCTTCCCTCCGCCATTGACACCCTCCTCTCTATCCTCCCCACCCCGTCCCCAGCTTTGTTGTCCATGTCCATCGGTTATGCGTACATGCATATAAGTTCTGTGGTTTAAAGTTATTCACTTTTTAAATAAAACATTTCAAGCATATGGGAAATTACAAAGAATAATACAATAACCACCATTCTGCCATACTTACTTCTGATTTCATTTTTGAAATAAAATATTAGAGTCATGGTTGAGTATCTTCTGGAAAATGTTTTTCCCTGACCCCGTTTCCTTTCCTCTCTCTGAGAGGCATCCACTACACCAAAATTGGTACATATTATTGACATGGATATTTTTATACCTTTACTTACATATAAGCAATCTATAACACTGTTTAGCATGTTTTAACTTAACACAAGAATTATCACAGTGTATATATTCTTCTACACTTTGCATTTTTTGGTTTTTGCTCAATACTTTGTTTCTGATATTTATTCATATTGGTACATGCAGTTTTGTTCATTTATTTTAACTGCTGCATGTAGAATTCTATTGTATGAATACTGGGTGAGTAGTTATG